TCTTTGTGTGCGTGGTGTCCCCCCGAGAGGACGTTTCTGTGGAGACGCTTGCCCCCCGTGTTTCTGGTCTGACTCCCCACAGGAGCAGAGCATCTCTCTGGGCCGTGCTTCTGCCCACGTGCTCTAGGTACCAATCCATGCACACCCCAGCAGGCGCACGTGTGCGCACACACACACAGGCACACACACACAGGCACACGTGCACACACACACATGCACATGCGCACACAATCGCACACACTCACACACACCGTGCTTTCGGAGCCTCGCCTCAAGCCAGCGTTCCCAGCGAGCTGCGCGCTCTCTCCTGTTTGGGCTGTAAAACTCTGCAATTAAGAAAATCCCCTTTTCTGATGAATCAGAGCCGACGCTGGCTCAGAACGAGGCGGCACGCGGTTCCACTTGGCTTTCAGAGTTTTGGGGGCCGTGGGAGCTGGAGCCCTTGGGGAAACTGAGTCTCGGAGAGGGGGTCCTTGTAAGAGGTGGCAAGGGACAGAGTGCAGGGGCAGTGGTGGGGTGGGAGCCTGGGGGGGTCTGCCGGGGCAGCCATCCTGCTGGTTTGAAGGAGGGGGCACCTGTGTCCTGTCCATCGCGGCGATGGCCCGGGCCTCTAGGGAGCCGTGTGGGGAACGGGCAGATTTGAGACTGTTCTTTGCTCCCTTCCCCATGGCCTGTGCGGACGAAGGACTCCCAGTTGTGGGTTGGGGCACGCGCGGAACTGAACACTTCCCAGACATCATCCCCTTTGGCCCTCGAGTCGGGGAGGGAGGCGCCTCGCTCATTGTTACGGGCTTCACTTAATACTTGAGGGTTGTGGCTCAGAGAGGGGCGGTCACTTCCCCCAGGTCACACAGCGTGTGTGTGGCAGAGCCAGGATTCAACCTAAGTCCATCCACTTGACCTCCACTGCCCACGCCTCTCTTCCTCCTTGGGGGTCGGGTGCTTTTTGGGGGGCAGAGCTGAGGGGGGGGCTGCAGGATGTGGGATCTGCAAGCACTGGGGAGTTAGCAAAGGAGCTGAGTGCCCGGGCCCCACTGCCCTTACCCAGGCTGCCTCAGGTGGCTCTGGGTCTTGGCTGACCTCCAGGAAGCCGTGTGTGTGTGTGTGTGTGTGTGTGTGTGTGTGTTCAGCTTGGGCCCTGCCAATCAAATGGAGAATGGAACTGGTCACAGCCACCACCAGCCCAGTGGGACCTGCTGGATGGACCCCGTGTCCAGGCCCCTTTTCTGGACACTCCCTGGGGGTCCCGATGAGCTGCCCATGTGATAGCCCCCAGGCGGGTCTGCCTGTGGGAGGGCAGGGCGGGGGTAGGAGTGCCAACCTGAGAGGACTCAAGACTTGCAGACTCAGCTCCCATTGGGAGTTGTGGTACCTTGAGCCCCCCGCCCCCCACTTCTGGGCCTCAGTTTCCAAGTCTGTGAAATGGGCAAAGGCCCTTGCCGGCCCCCGCCCTCCGCATGGGGGCGTTGAGGCCCTGGTGAGCCTCTGTGTGCGGGAAGCTGCCCTCCTGGGTCGGAGTCGGGTGGCCTGAGGCTCTTGCTGTCCCAGGGGCAGCCACAGCCCCTGCCCGATAGTCTGTCCTCCCCCGCACGTCCCCCCCCCCCCCCGCCGGGGGCCTTGAGCCAAGCAGACTCCTTTGAAAGAGCCTCTGCCCCTTGTCCCGCGACACCAGTCCGAGCTCTTCAGCTCTCTGAGCCTCAGTTTCCCTTTCTGTGACTTGGGGAATAACCACTCCCCGATCCAGGGCACTGCTGTGGAAACGGAATGGAGACAGCGTTTGGAAATGCTGTCGGACTCGGGGTGGGATGCCTTCCTTCCGGGGGTTCCCATCAGCCCCTTGGTTACTCCCTACAACGTTGTCTCTTTGACTTGCTCTTTGGATCCCCCTTCCTCACTCTGGGGATGAGGGTCTGGTAAGCAAAATTTAAATATATATATATATCTTTATTGACTTCAGAGAGGAAGGGAGAGAGAGAGAGATGTACTAGTATTTATAGAAACATCAATGATGAGAGAGAATCACTGGTCGGCTGCCTTCTGCACACCCCACACTGGGGATTGAGCCCGCAACCCAGGCCTGTGCCCTGACCGGGAATCCACCCGTGACCTCCTGATTCAGAGGTCGCTGCACAACCACTGAGCCACACCGGCTGGCCCGGTAAGCAAGGGAGAGCTGTGAAGCCACCAGCTGTTTGGGCTGCACCACTGGCCCTCTGACCATAGCTTGGCGCCTGTGCCCACGTCTTTGCCGGGCAGTTTCCTGGCACGTCTAGTTTACGCGGCACAGCGGTCCCAGGAGGCGAGCAGCTGGTGGCTTCCCAGCTCTCCCTTGCTTACCGGGCCGGCCGGTGTGGCTCAGTGGTTGAGTAGCGACCTACGAACCGGGAGGTCCCGGTTGGATTCCCTCCTTTACCATTTTTTGGAGGATGAGGTGAAGCTCAGGGCTCGGGAGTGGCATTGCCAGGGTCTGACCCAGCCCGGCTGCAGGTCGCCGGGCGGCCGCTGCGGGACGGGGAGGTGAACTCAGCGTTGGCAGCGCTGGCAGCGCCGGCAGCCTCCGGCCTCCCCGCCAGGCCCGAGTGGCCCCTGGCCCCTGTCCGCCTGGCATCGTGCACCCCCGCCTTGTTCCCCGTGGCCGCCCGCTCCCCCTCCTCGATGGCCCTAATGACTTAGCCCAGGTGGCGTGTTGCGTGGAGAAACTACTCCAGGGAAATAAGCGTCCTCGCTACCAGCCCGGGCCTCAGGTGTGCACGCGGCGGCCCCCGGGGCCTGGCGAGCGGCGCCTCCCCCGCCTCCAGCTGTTAGATGGAGCCCAGAGCCGTGTGTTGTGTGCCTGTGTGCATGTGCGTAACCCCGTGCGGCTGTGCATGGGTGACTACAGAATTGTGTGTGTGTGTGTGTGTGTGTGTGTGTGTGACCGTGCTGTGTGTCGGTCCGTGTGTCCGTCTCTGTGTGTGTTTCTGTGTGAGGGGGAATCTGGTGGGAAGGGGAAGGGGAGGTGTTAGCCGCATGGGGCATCGGCAGGGGCCCGGGAACGCACGGCGGGGCCTGGAGTCCCCTCCTTGGCTGGCTGGGGTGCTTTGGAGAGCAGTCACACACATGTTTAGATAATCAGAACAAAAGCCAAAAGAACAATGCGGTTCAAAGGGATGACGCCGGGCGGCGGGGGCCCGCCCGGATCTGGGGGCCGCGTCCCGTCTCCCCGGCCTCGCCGTGTTGTGATCGCGCGCGTGGAGCACCCTTTGTTGTAGGAGACGCTGACATTGGCCTGCGTGCTGCTGCTGTGAAGTTCGCTGCGCTCCCGGGCCCACTCGGGACGGCCAGGCCATTAGGAGCTGATTAAATGAGCTAATTTTAATTTGTTCAGTGGTTACAGATGCACAGACCTTTCCGTGCCCTTTTCTTGAGGCTCCGTTTATTTATTAATTTTTTTTTTCTCTCTGAAAAGAAAAAGACCTTCAGGATCCCTCTGCTCTCCCCATCCCCCTTTAAAAATAAACATCGGAAAACATTTCTTTTTTTTTTTTTTCGGAAAACATTTCTAACAAGAAGTGGGGTTGGGAGAGACGGGCCGGCATGTGGGCTTCGCCGCTAGAGGTGGGGGTGCTCCTCGAGTCTGTGAAGTGGGGGCCGCCCAGCCTGGCTGAGCGGGAGGAGCGGAGGTTTGATGGAAATGGTCAAGGACATTGGTCTCCCCTCCAGGCCACTGCACGTGCTGGGGCGGCGCTTCCTCAACTCATTCTCACTCATCCTGCTGGTCTCAGCATAAAGGCCACTTCTTCCAGGAAGCCCTCCCGAACCTCAGCCCAGCCCCACGGGTGTCACCGGTCATAGCAGATATCACAACACACACAACGCCGGTCTCCATCGCGAGGCTGTGAGCCCCCTGGGGCAAGGACCGTGCCTGCCTGGTGCCCCCCCGCCCCCCAGCACCATGGAGCTTAGTGGGCGGTAAGCACATCGCCAACATCTGGCCACTGACTGTGAGGGAATGAAGGGAGGGAGGGAGGAGTGAGGGTGACACCTACACTCCCTGGACTCCTCCGCATTCCAAGCTCTCGGTGTCAGGACCCAGGGGCCCGTGGGTCCTGCGCTGCCAGCCCCGGCCTCGTGTCCCTGGGCCGGGGAGTCGGGAGTCGGGTCTGGGTCTCCAAACATGAACGTGGTGGGAGTGGGGAGGTCGCGTTTGCCCGGTCCGGCGTGACCCTGACCCCAGGCCCAGGAGGCCGCTCAGGCCCAGGGACACGTGGAAATATGCTCGAAAGCGGGCCCTGGAGGAGGTGCTGGCAGTGAGGGTGTCAGAGCACAGGAAGGGGAAAGGGGGCGCTGTGGTCGCCGCCGCCGGGCACCCCCGTCCTGCCCCAGCGGCCTGGTCCCCTCCCTGCTCTTTGGCTTCTCACACCGCCTCTTGCCCTGCTGGGGCACCTTCGAGGGAGTGGGCAGGGGCTGTTTCCCGGAGCTGAGCAGGGGCAGGGCCCGGCCCGGTTCCCAGGCCTGGTTTCCATTTGCCGAGAGCGCCTTCCCGCAGACGGCACCCCACCCACCCCACCCGGGCTCGGAGGGGCTGTCCCCCACCCTGTCCTGGCAGCTCCGGGCTGTCTCCCCGCGTTCCCCCTCCAGCCCCAACCTCAGTGCCGGCCCAGACCCCTCCGTCTGTGCAGGAGCCCCAGAGCCCGCTTCCCGGCACCCCTGGGGCCGGGGGCCCTCAATTGGGTCAACATCTGGCCGAGTGGCCGAGCCTCTGGCCTCCTGCCTCCTCCCCCGCCCCCTCCCCGAGGCGCTCTCTCTCCCCACTCGCTGGCTGCTGCGCCAAGCGCCGCGGCGGGAGCACACGCTCGCTCAGCCCATCCTTCCCAGCTGAGGCCGAGGGTGGGGATGCGTCCCGGGGCTGAGGTCACCGGTGGGGCAGTGGGAAGCGCCTCTCCGGCCCTCGCCTGCCCGCTGCTGGGTGTCGGGGACAAGAGCAGCGACCGGCTTGTCCTGGGGCGCCCCGGGGAGCAGGGGACGAGGTAAGGGGGGCCGGGCTGGGGGGAGAATGAGCAAAACAGGCCGGTGTCTGCACCGGACGCCAGGAGTCCCTTTAGCGGCTCCCCACTCGTCGGGAGGGAGGAGGGGAACCCGGCCCAGAAGGAAGAGGCTCTTCCTGGATCCAGCGGCGGAGGGAAAGGCAGGGCCCAGAGGCGCCGGCCGCCAGGTGTTAGGTCTGTGTCCGGCCCTCCCGTGTGGGGGTGGCGCAGGGCCCCCGGCGAGCACCCCGACTTCTGGGTCTGGCGCTGCATTTGCTTCTCCCTGTCCTGCTCTGTGTGCTCCGCGTGCGGCCTCCTGGCCCCTCTGGCTCCTCGAGGAGGCCTGGCTGTGTCCCTGAGGATGCCCAGGTGCCCTCGGGGCTGGTGTGACCCTCAGCGCGCCCCCTCCCACGCCCTCGTGTCGGCCCCGCTTCCCGACCACGGTCCCTGGCCTGGGCCCAGACTGCCGGTTTCTGGGCCCAAACTTGCCACCCACACAGCCAGCGTGGCCCGAGCCATCGGCTCCTCCCCAGTCACAGAGGTGATGGGCCGAGAGGCATGGAGACAGGCCTCTGGACTGCCCATCACCGGCTCCTGATTCCCGTGGGCCTCGCTCGCGGGCGGGGGGCCTTCCGTGGCCAGCTTGGTGTTCTCGTGGCCAGCCTTCGCCTCGGGAGGGAGCTGGCGGGCTCCTCTCTGTTTACGTCGTCACCAAGCTACCGAGATGGCAAACTTGGATTCCGCGACTGCACAGCGTTTCAGAGGCGAATTGATAGGGTAACGTGTTATTATTGGCTACCGGGTTAAGGGCTCCGTTGGCAGGAGTACCAATCCCGCGTGGCGTTGCTGCCGCGGGCGTGAGAATGGCGCGACGGGGTAGAGAGGCGGGGAGGGGGGGTGCGTCCTGCACAGCGTGGGGGCCCGGGGACCCTCCCTCCCCTGCCAGGCGGCGCCTTCGTGGAGGATGCTCAGCCCGGTTGGCCCTTGCTGAAACCAGGACCAGAGAGGTTGGGACACCAGCCTCCAGTCACACAGTGAGTCCAGGCAGGGGTTGGCTCTGAGGTCCCTGGGGGAACGGATAGCTTGACCTGTGACCTCTGAAGGCAGGGCCAGAGCCTCCGCTCTGCGCATCCCGCGGGCATCGCAGGAATCGGGGTTTGGAAGGGACCCAGGGGAGCCCGCTCGGACTCGGGGTCCCCGCTGGGCCCCCTGCCTAACTCCAGGTTCCCCCGGCTCCTGGCTTGCTGGCTGCAGGTCTGCTAGGCGTCACCTGTCACTGTGGAGAGCAGCACCCCCGTCCTCCCCCATCCCCCCTTCTCCTGTAGCTTCCCGGGGCCGCCTGGCTGGCAGATGGAGTGAGCGCTGCGTTCTCCGTCTCCCCGCTTTGCCGCGAGGCTCGCGAGGGTGAGGACTGTGCTGCTCACGGCCGGTCCCGGAGCCGGTGCAGGGCGGGCCGAGGAGGCCCCGGTGGTGTTTGCTGAAGGAATAAGAGCATAAACTGCAGTGTCACTGAAACAAGCGGCTGCCACGCCCCCTGGGACGGCTCCTCTCTCCTCAGGAGACGGGGCGCGTGGGGGCGCGTGGGGGGCTCTCGTACTCCTGTCCCGCGGGGCGGCCCACAGGTGCCCCTGAGGGCTCACGTGACGTCATTTCTTCTCGCTGAGGAAGCTCGTAGGGAATGAGCTCCCCATCACCGGGAGGGACCAAACCTGGTGACAGAGGGGATGTGAGGACCGAGGGGGGGGGGGCCCTCGCCGGCCTTCTGTGTTTGGGCTCCGTGGTGGCTCCGTGGGAAGACAGCAGGCTCGGCTTCCAATATCATGTGACAGCACCACCTCCTGCTCCACCCGGGATGTGGTGTGAGGACATGGCAAGGGGGGGAGTGCGGCTCGGCAAGAGCAGGGAGCCCTGCGGTGACCCGGGGGTTCCCAGCGCCTCCTCTCTTGCTGCCACTGATCGGGAAGCGACACGCGGTAATACGTTCACGGAGCGTCTCCCGCGTGCCCGGCGCTCGGCCAAGTGCTTAACCTGGATTATCCGGTTTAATCCTCCACCGCCAGTGGCGGCGGCGGCGGCAGCATCCTCTGCCCGGGCGACCCCTGCGTGAGGCTTAGCGAGGCCCAGTAACGGACCCGTCACCCAGCTGGCCCGGGGCGGGGGGTGCGGGACGTGCACCCAGCCTCCTCTGGCTCCGGGCTTCCCAGATGCAATCCTGACCCCCTGGGACGCAGGCTCCGCGGGCGGGACAGCACCCGGAGAGCTGGCCTGGACTGGAGCTCAGAGAAGGAAGGAACGAAGGAATGAATGAAAGGGGTTTCCCAGGGTGAGCAGGGAGTGCCCATTCTCCTCCGGGGAGGGAAGGGGAACCCCAGGGCAGAGGGCGAGGGAAGGGGTGACACACGTGTGCTTGGCCGGCCCCACTCCCTCCTAGAAACACTCGCAGGGGCCCCTGGGCTGCGTTTCTTGTGGAGCGCGCACTTGGTCGCTGGGTAGAGGTGGGAGGTGAGTTTTGGAGATGCCTGGTGGGGAAGACACACATGCTCATGCATGGATGTGGGCACGCTTACACACACACACATGCACACGCACACACACACCCTCACCCAGCCACGTGAGGGATGCCTCCTTCCACAGACAGATGTACCCCCCACCCCAAATCACAGTGCTGAGTCTGTCCCTTTCAGGGTGTGGAGTCTCAGTTTATTATCTTATTACATCTCTGTATTTGTTGAGCGCTGGTCTGAATAAATAAAAGCCCCCCGCACCCCCCAGGGTCTCCTCGTTCTAATGCATTCCTCCGGGGACTCAGGTCTCCATCCTGCCCCTCTGCCCCCACCCCCAGTGTCTCTCGTTCTAATGCATTCCTCCGGGGACTCAGGCCTCCATCCCTGCCCCTCTGCCCCCACACGCCCTTGCTGTCTCCTTGGCCCAAGATGTTCTTTCAAAAAGAAGATTGACAAATGCGGTCACACTGGAGCCTCAATGTGCGGCCCCCAGGGGCCTCGGAGACACTGGACGGGCTCTGCAGGAGGCGGCCGCTCTGGGCCCAGGCGGTCAGGCCAGTGGTCAAGCTCATGAACTCCTCGATTCCAGCTGGAGACCCACCTGCCGGAGGGGGCCCTAGCACCTCTTTCGGACTAGCTTTTCATTCCATCCATCCGTCCGCCCACCATCCATCCGTCCATCCATCCAGTTATTCATTCAAACCATAGTTAGAAAGCGCCTCCTTTAGACCAAGCCCCGAGGCTTTAATATTCCATCCATCCATCTGTCCGTCCGTCCGTCCATCCATCCGTCCATCCACCCGTCCATCCGTCCACCCGTCCGTCCTTCCATCCATCCATCCAGCCATCCAGCCATCCAGCCATCCATCCGTCCAGCCATCCCATCCTTCACGCATTCATGCCCTAGTTGCCAGGTGTTTCCTCTGGGCCAGGACCCGACATGCACCTGTTCACTCATCCATTCGTTTATCGACTCGTCAAGCAGAGAGTTCCTTCCAGGCACCTGGTGGGGGCTCCCAGGGATCCTGAAACGAGGGGCCACTCGGCATGGTCTCCGGGCGAGTCTCAGCCCCGAGTCCCTGTGGGGAAACCCTCTCACCATCCTTGGAAGGCCACGCGCAGGGACAGGTGCAGAGCTGCTCAGACGTGGGCTGGCCAAGGAGGCGAGCAGCGGGCAGCGGGGTCCTCGCCCTGCGTGGCTCTGGCTGGAGGCCTGGCTGAAACACTTGTTCATTCATTCATTCATGGCAAATGCTGAGGACCTACTGTGTGCAGGCGCCAGAGGAGCTGGTGACCGGCCCTATCAAGGACGGGCAGCTGCGGACCTGGCTCCCGCTCAGGGACTCCGCTCGCCCGGGCTGGGGTGGGGGCAGCGCCCCCCCTTCCCAGGTGCCCGGGGAGGAGGAAGTCCTCATACCTGAAGGGTCACCCGCGTGTGCAGAGGCCTGGGTGACCGATGATTCTCCCTCGGTCGTCTCTCTCAGTTTTCACGTCTGTGTCCTGCCCGTCTTCTCATCCTCCTGGGTGTGTGTGGGGGGAGAGTGTGGGGGGCGGTCCCCCCAAAACCCAACCCTACTGACATTTTCCCTGAGCCAGGCAGCCAGATCCTCTTGGCTCTGCCTTGGGGCCGGTCCCTCCCTTGAGCCTAAAGAGCCTCAGTATCCCCATCTGCACCGTGGGTGGTTAGCTGGGCCCGAGGACCAGGCTGGGTTTGGGTGGGCAATGGCCGTGAAGGGGCATCGTTGGGGGTCACTGTGGCTGGAACAAGGGCTCAGAGGCTGGGCTGGGTGAGGCAGGCTCCCTAATAACAGTGGGCGGCTTTGGTGGCTTTTTTGGAGAAATATGGGATCATTCTGGACTCGCTCCACAAACTGCTGTGGGACTCGGGCCCGTGCCCTCTCGGAGTCTGTACATGGGGGACAGGATGGTGCCCCGGGTAGGGTGGAGGTGAGGCCTGAACGAGGCTGAGTCTGTGACAAACTTGGCACTGTGCCCGCGCACACTGAGGGCGCTGCAGCTGGCGGCTGCAGGGAGGGGCTGCCCGCCTGAAGTTGAAATGGGGCTCAGTGCCATTGTGTCCCGGCCCGGAAAGATGCACGGACTCAGCGCTTCCCCCACGGACTCAAAAATAAACAGCGGTACCGAGATCCACGGTTCAGGGCGAGGCATGGCCCAAAGGTGGGGCCTAGAGGTCGAGAAGGAATGGCCGGGGCAATCAAAGAAGGCTTCCTGGAGGCGGTGTCTCGGAGGCCTGTCAGCCAGGACAGAGCGGGTTTGGTATGATGATGCCGAAACGGCAGGAGAGGCTCCCAGGAGTGTTGCTCGCCTCCCTCCCCATAAAGGAGCAGGCACATCCACTCCCCATCAAGCCTCGCATGGGGTGCGCTCTGGACGCCGCGCGCCTGTTCCCTCACATGGGCCGAGGAGACGCCTGACACTTCTTAGAAGCTTTGCGAAGACTTGCGGCCGAAACGCGGGGAGTGGAAGAATGCCGCCCAG